ATGTATAATCTGAAGTGCATTATGTAAGTATCTACATTTTTGTGTTTATGTAACAACAGAAAAGGATCAATTTATTTCAATTTATTGCTGTAAGCTATATTGTTTATCTAAGAGAAAGAGATTAGACGAACTCGATGGCGATGTGGTTAGCGCGCTAGGTCCGCAATACGGTCATATTATGAGTGACCAAAAATAAAAAATGATGAGCTTCTGCGTTCTTCGCATGCCACGTTTAGCGGTTGGTTCTAGCTGCATCTGCATTCGTTAACACCAATCCGCACTGGGCCCGCGTGGTGGGTCGTGGCTTTTTTTCCCTATCCGATTTGAGGCGATCCAGCCATAAAAAAGGACAGCCCCAGCAGTGTGGACAGGCTGGTGATGATAAAGAGAAAGAGATTATCAAATGCGTTTCGAGTCTAGGCTTATAAGGTTTTTAAAAAGTATGTAAATGAAACATTTTTTAAGTCTTTCAGTCAAAACATATCTAAACGCTTAATCAACGTTGCCGTTCTCGAGTTTTAGCGAGACACACGATCAGCAGATGATTTTGTATATAACATGAAGATACATAATAAAATTTCTTTTGAAAAATATTATCTCTACTTTGCAAGCGGTCACATCAGGGTCCCCCGATATAATACACACAGATTAATACGCATGATTTAATGTATTTTTCTACTATTTCTGCTAATAATTCTACTGTTTGAGTATAAAAAGCTACTTCAAAATATCGAAAAATAATTCTTCAAAATTCCAAGGGCAGTTAACAAATTCAATAGTCTTCATTTGAATTTAGATCAGAATTTGATAGCCACGCTTTTAACCGCCCAGCTTCAAATAAAGTTTCGATTTTAATTAATCCAATTAAAAAGCATTTTTATTTAAATGGTTAAAAATACAACCCTTTTGTTTGTTGATAGAGTCAAAAGAAGTAAAATCCTAATAAAAAATGTTTACATTGTGACTCTCATTGTGTTACCCACCGTCAGTAAAATGACTTCTTATGACAAATCATATTGTGTGCTTTGTAATAAAGCATCACACGTAATTAATTTACCTTAATTATGCCGTGGGAGTTGATACTGTTTTCATTACGGAGTGTTAAAGAAACTGAGACTGCTGTCAAAGGGCAAACAGACCAAACAAACACGTCCCTGTTTGAGTTTCATACCTCCGTGTGTATCAAAAAGAGTTGAAATGTGGAATTTTGAATAATTAATCTACTAATTTACTTTCCCAGTAAAAATCTCAAGTGATTGTTAATTGGGAGTGACGTTGTATTTATGTATAAAATGTCATGCTTTTTTTTATAACATTGCAGTATACGAATAGATATAAAAAAGTTATGCTAAATCGAAAAGGAAGAGGTTATGTCGATGGCGATGTTTATTTTTTTATGTGACCATCGATTTCTCCGCGAGTTGTTGACCGATTTTCAATGTTATTTTTTTTCTTTTTACTCGATGCACCGCATTCTGTCGAATCTTCATCATCAATCATTATTATTTTTATGAAAGTGTAATTAGTCGAGTGTTTATTAGTATTTTAATTAAATGTGAATAAAAACTTTTCTGTAGGCTTATTTGGTGATAAGTACAAACAAAATACTTTTTCCCATGGAGCACTGTTAATATAACATGTCTGCAGTGCTATTTTAGTATAGAACTCATGTTCTATGGGAAAAAGTATAAAGTCTTTATTCTTGCTCTATAGCTTAAATAGAATAAAAACTTTATTGGCTTTTCAAGGTTTTATTTTAATAAACTTTTACACAGAGAGAGCACTACACGAGTTCGTCGAGTCCTAGGCCTTTTAACCACAGAGGAATAGCATAAGCAAGTATGACCCTAATTTTCGCTGTGCCAGGACTATTTTCTTGAAAAAATATGGAAAAGGTTACACCATTAATTAACACTCAAGAAATGCAAGAAATTATGCTTTTTACTTTTATAGATCTGATGCAAAAAGAAAAAGTAGGTACCTATAATTATTTTGTCTACTCAATAACGAAAATACAAAAACTCTACCTTTCTTTACCTTTAGAAAACTCTCCTAATAAAGTCCTGCAGAATTCTGGGATCGTGGTACGGTCGATCTTGATATTTTTCTTTCATTACCTAAAGTAATATCCCAGTGAAAACTTTCTCTAGGTTCCCACTTCAACAGATAGCTTTCTACATGGTTAGCTACCCACTGCGTATCATGTGACGCGCTCTCGCCATTCCATAATAGGCCCCTTCAATGGCCATCGGTTCTTCTTGCTACGTACGTCCACTGTCATTTCCGCTGTCTAATTGTTCAACATATATCTATCCTCTTTTATCAAATATGTCTACTGTATTTTTTTATAAACTCATTAATAAAATTAATACTGTAGATATTTTTGTTCCGCTTTCAGAAGACAATATATTTCTGCCATAGTTGCCCTTATATTTACATAACTCATTACTTAAATGCTGGTGTTATATTAATTTAGAACGATAATTTAATATCGGAAAGCACATTAAACTATTGGTTCTGGTTACGTCTGCTTTCACTAATAACAATTCGGTTTGATGCCTTGAAGTGGCTTATGACCAATATGTTTTGGCCCGTTCTCCCCACGAGCTTATATCTAATGCGGAAGAACCTACCTATATGTTTCATAATTTTCAGTGAATTAGAAAAGTAGTCTGATTAATTGTTTTTACTCCTGAGATACTGTATACCGGATATAAGAGGTGATGATGCGTGAGCGGTAAGATACGAGGCGGGCGGCACGTTTGAACATAGTAGTGCCCTCAATAAGCATTAGTTTACTCAACAGTTAGCAACATTCCACCTTGCACCTTCTATTCACCAGAATTAGGGCTGACACTATCTTTAAAAGCAACCAGTGAATAAGAAATGAACTTCTGCCATAAATCAAATACCCTATATCAGATTCAAATAATATTAGCTAGTATATTATGATTATATAGACTAATTGATTGTAAGGCTTATTGATCTAAATGGTACTTTTTCTCGATGTTTACTTTTATTAGTTTAGATAAGTCGAGATAGTAAAAGTATACATTTTCGGAATCAGAAAAAAATCACCGAATCCAATTACAGGTATGACAATAGCTGATTACCTGCCTAAATTTTGGTCTATTTCACCTACATTAGATGCCAATGCAAATAAACTATCAAATTTTTCCTCTAATAATATTAGTATAGGTAATTCAATATCGAATAAAAAATGTCGCTACCTAATCCTTCATTGTTTCTAACTTAGGAATCATAAGTCTTAATGCTTCTTTGAGAACTTTGGAATAAAAAATAAAAAGGAATATTAAACCACTCTTATATAAACATGAAACTGCTAAAATTTTAATTCCATGAAATTAGTAATACGACACCTCAAAAAGAAAATTTTGAAATTGTAGTTCGTATTATAAAACAATAAGTTGAAGTAATTTTCCAGGCTGAAGTATATGCCATTTTAGAATGTGTGGAAGTTAATCGCTAACAAAACTACAGAAATCAAACCATTCTTACATATACTCTGATAGTCAAGCAGTACTCGATGCCATACATTTGGCGTGATAAGTTCGAAACTGGTAAAGAACTGTATTGACAGAATGAATGAACTGGGGTAAAAGAATAAAATTATTAAATGGGTACCAGGAAACTTAGGCATCATCGGTAATGAAATAGTGGATGAATTAGTAAGGGCTGGAGCACAGGGACTACAAATAGGATCAGAGCCCTTTTGTGGTATCCCAAAAAAGCATGTGATGCAAATTATAAGCAAAGGGATTCAAAAAAATATTGGCAAAAATAGCCGGGATTAAATCACCCTAATTGAAGATCATTCACAAAAACTAGCTGAAGAGCTCTTGAAATTTAACAGAGCAAATATAAGTACAATTGTACGAATCTTATCTGGACACTGGAAATTAAACAGACACCTATTTAACATGAAACTAAGTGACACTGACATATTCAGATATTGCAAACAGGTACGTGAAACACCAAAACATCTCCTGTGTGAATGTGGACCACTGATCCACAAAGCATACATCTGGGACGACATATAATCAGCCCAGAAGATATAAAATCTCTAAGAGCCAGGAGAATATTATAGACTTATTGAAATCTATCTAGTTTAAGGAGTTAGTATAGCTCTGGCAGCGAGTCACAATAGATCTTCAAGGTCGCAGTGACTACAGTTCCTCAGGGAACTGCATAGCCCCTTATTAACAACAAATAATAATAATTTTGACCATTCTAACTTAATTAAATAATTAAATTTAATGCTCACTTTCATATTCCATTTAATTCAATGCATAGAATAATTCATAGTCACTTACAATAATTAATAAATGAATTAAGTATTGATATCATAAAATTTTGATATTAATATGATTCTAATTTTAATGAGTTTATTTTTTATTTTTAAAATGATTGGTTTGTGGCTATTAAACAGGAAGGAATAAGCAATTCACCAATAATAAACAATCTCCACTGATATTATCGGTTATAGTCAGTACAAGGTCTTCTACCATTGATTTACCAACAAAATGCGAAGATTTTCAATGTTCACATATACTTGTTAATAACATAAAAAATATTACAAGATGGATAATTTAAATAGGAAATGAGGATGGCGTTTTTGCGCGTGAAAAAATATTATTATTTTTTAAATTAATTACTTACTCGCAAACCATTACGATAATTGCAAAAGTTCTCGCGGCTAAAAACTTGATGGTAAAATATCCCGATAAAAATACGAAAGTATTATCACTTATTAAACCTTTTCTTATTTTTATTCGATTTCTTTTTATTTATGAATTGTTAGAGGTTGTTTCTGATATTTATTCACTTAATACTGATACTTATTTCTGATATTTATAAACTTAACTTTAATCGCAAATACATTCCAGAAAAAATAATCACTCAAACACTAAAATCAAAGAATATAAAGGGTAAAGAATAATCTAATAATAATAACCAGAAATACATTAACATGACTTTATTTAATTTATCAAATGTGTTTCGTGATAGTGCCGCGTACTTAGGTACTAACAATTTTTTGTGTTCACAAACGATCCAAACAACAACACAACATTTTTACAACAAGCGCACATTACTGATGTTATCGTCATTTTATTAAAAATTGTACTAAAAAAAAACAAAAAGAAATATTTTTTGAATGCAAATTGAAAAGAAGTATAATCCTGAAGAAAACACTATTAGCACCAACTTGACATTAATCATATTATTGAATATCACAAATCAACGAAATCAGTTCACCTATTTCTACCGTATACTGTTAGTTACCTACCATTTGTTTTTAATTAATAAATTAAATTACACAAAACATTTTCAAAGGCAATGTTGATATTACAATTACAATATAATTCGTACCGTGAATCGAGTGTATTTATTATATAATGCTGTGTATAATTATACGAAACAGGCATAAGTTAATCTAATTACAAGCTATTATTTACAGAACAACTATAACTAGAAATAATCTCATTCAACGTAAAAAATCAAACTATTTCTCAATGCTGGAAACGCTCGATTTTTTTTAACAGAAAATCGTATTTTCATAATACATTTTAATTCAATAAAACGTATGAGATTCGCTACGATTTATTAACGAAGATCAATTTATTGAACGATTTCTGAACAAAGAAATGAAAACAATTGACAAAATCAACGTTTGAAAATTAAATAAATAACATCATTTTAACCAAATAATTTTATGCACAAAAATAGCGCTTACAGCATTGGGTAATATACTCCAACCTCTTAAAATATAATTAATTCAATAATCTTAATTATTACAATAATATAAAAATATAGAAATCTATATTTACAGTGACGATTACACATCAAATTAAAATGACCTCTTCGAGTAAACGCATCAAGCATGACGCCGCGCGCCGCGCACGTCTCAAACGGTTAAAGTTTTGTTAAAGCTGAACTACATTTTTCGATAAATGATTTCAAAAATGAGTATTAATTTTAGCGTAAGAACTTTTTCCGTACTGGTACTGACGTCTGGCCACTAATTTATTTAAAAAACACATTAAAAACATACTCACAGTAGAGGAAAAAATCGGAACACTAAAATGTTCAGTTTCAATCAACAGATTGAATGTACAATGTAATTAGTTATAACAAAATTAAACACTCGTTATAATTTTCCCGAGAGGATTGCACTAGACTATCACATATTCATAAGTCATATTGAAGAGAAAACCCACTGTAATGTACAATAGTAACGTATACCTTTGTAGGTAAGCACTGGTGTCTTTACGATCACTATGCGTAATCATGGGAGTAGTAGTCTTGCTGATGTGGTCACAGTAACGGCACTGGTGGGACCCCCGGCACTAGAGGCTCGGGGACCCCTTGTAAGACCCCTTGATGATAATGATGATGATGCATCATGCCGTTCATCATCTGCTGGTGGTGGAGCATCGTGGCGTGATGTAATTGGGCATGCTGAAGTGAAGCATGATCACCCTTCTCTTTCATGACTACCTCTTCCCGTTTTTTCACCTGTTTGCGCTCCTTCGCGCGACGGTTTTGAAACCAAATTTTCACCTGGAAATTGTATTGGTTTTTAGGAATGTGGGTGCTGAATTGTTAGCTTTATATGATGCTTTTTTAGTTATTATTTGTAAAGAGTAAAATTAGATTTACTATAACCTACAACCTTTATTTTAGACATAACCAATCTAAGAGTACCAACTCTCCATTTTTCGTAGACAACATTCGAAAATTATAAGATATTATTTTAAGTGAATTAAAATAAATTTAAATTTACAAAATGGATGCCTTGACCAGCTCCAGGAATGCATAATGCGGCCGCCCAATTAATGAAATAGTCTTTTTTCATGAAACGGCCACCTAAAACTGATGATATTGTTTAATCGTCCACTTTCAATAATATATCAATCCACATTTAGCCATATCTCTAATATAGAGTATCCGAAAAAGGAAATTTAATAATGTGCTGAAATAACTCATTTTATACGGTAGCGTTATGTGAATCTGTAGTCTAAAAAAATTATTAAATTTTTTGGAATGGTTAATTGAATAATTCTACGATGTATAAGTGAAAGGAAAAGTTTTATCTACAATATTATATCTATATGTATGTATATGTTTTAATAACAAAATGTTGGTAATCCGATTGGTTTTTAGCGCCCAGGCTTACAAAAATAGTACCCATTTTTAAACACTACATTATAGGTATTTTAATATAAAATATTCCTGAGAAAGTTTCTACTACTTACAAGTAGGTCGATAAATCTGAGTCGATTTACATTTCAAAAGTGTAATTTACCTGTCTTTCCGAAAGGCCCAAACTAGCAGCAAGCTCAGCCTTCCGCCGTATTGTGATGTACCGGCTGTAATGAAACTCCTTCTCTAGCTCAAGTCTTTGATGGTCACTGTACACCACTCGATACTTGTCCTTTGTGCGCGTTTTACCTACGACAAAAAATTTATTTCATTAATTTTGTTTTCTACTCTAAATTCTGTTCCTGTTTAACCATAAAGAAGACCTTTCTACCTTCTTTATTTTTGTATTTAAACTTTTTTTTATTTATCTATTTGAAACCACAGTGTAACTTGCAATGATCTAGTTAAGAACTTTGAGGCATAAATGTATTGTATCTCATCAGTGAAAAGGCTTGCTAGCTTAGTTTTGTAATTACATTTCTAACTTAAATGTCGTATTCATTTAACATCCAGAAATTTATGTACCTATCTTAAGGTATATCTCGTCTTTATATTAGAGCAGTCTTAACCGTTGGTCCCTGAAAGCATCCCAAGTGAGCTACGGTGCCTCATAAAATGATTTCTTTTTTAATTTAAATAATTTCGTACAATGAACCGACACTAGGTAATATCTCTTTCACTCGTGCGCAAATACGTTGTTATTGCACCCACACATATACATTTAGCCAATTTTGTCATAGTAAAGTGGACTTAAAGTAGTAATTTAATTTGCTGTAAATAGCTTTTAGTATCGAGGTAACAAAAACTTGAAACTCCCCTCGCCGGCGTTAGGCTACGATGACGTGATAGAAAATTGACTCTAAAATTAAAAGGTTAACTACTGTATTATAGTTACAAATTTATAGTTTACAAACAACAAAACAATGCCATCAGAAGTGCTATTCTATTAAAAATACAGAATTTAGCGCTGTCTCAGCATTCAATCAAATAAAACCAACATCAAAAATTAATAAACGGTATATTTATTGAAGTTCTAAAACTGTTACGACGCTAATTTTAACATTGCATTTGACGCTGTCTTTTTACAAAATATGTTCATAATCACATAAAAATCATGAAGATCAACAAAATTCAAATACCGTCATAGATATAAAAACCTAATTTTGTATAATACTGCCTGCGCGTGATTATAAATAAAGATATAATAAAGCATAAAACAAAAGTAGAATATGAAATAGAGTTAATTTTTAAAATATCTAAATCCAAATTAAGGAAGAAATCAGTTAATCGTACAATCGTAGAATTGGATTGATCGAGATCTGCCCGGGTATATCACGATATGCCGCTATTTCTTGATTTGGCCATCTACATATCAATTTAAAGAAAATTAGCAAGAAAAAATGCGAATATCATTTCATTTTGGAGATTATTAATAATCAATCGTGCGAATTGTATAATCATAAAACTGTATAAGAATAGAAATGTATATTTGAAGCTATTATTATGTTATTGCTATTAGTGACAAAAATTTGAATTGATGATGTTCCAAATAAGGCTTATCTATGTTAATTATAAAAAATTGAGAGTGGACAAAGAATATTTTAAACGTAAGAAAAGATCATTTAACATGATTTACTATTAGGTACATATTTTTGTACTCTTAAATTTGTACCTACAATAAATAAATGAAAATTTCACGATATTTGCGAAATTATTCATCAAATAAAGATAATTAGGTGGAATATTATCTGTTTTGGCCCGCCATTTCAAGAAATTATTCACATATTATATTTTTACAGGGCATAATTTAAGAATTCATTCGCCTAACCTAACCCTACAAAGCAATATCACTTTTCTTACGAGTGAATGTAATTTTGGTTTTGTAATCAGAATAACTTACAAGCAATAAGATGTTCATCGCCGGTAGGAGAACTGGCAGCGTTATGGTGCGCGGTGCCCAAAGGGTGCGTCAAAGCCTTGACTTGGCCTTTGCCCAGCAGAGGACTGACGCATTCTGACGATAATGAGAAAACAACCTTCATACTCGTAACATTATTATGCGCAATAAAGATACGCTTCTACTTCCTACTACATACAACACTTCCTATATTATACAAAATTATATGTTCATTTCCTTTTTGTCAAAATCAATTTAATTTTATGCAAAAAATAATAACATAATGCCAAATTAGTTAATGCCAAAGGTATTCTCTAACAGTCAACCCGAACAGAAGTTGGTTTTGCTTGTAAGGCGATAACAATATTTTTTTAATCATTAATCCAATAAAATTTACACTATCTAAATATATAAATATAAATACTGAATAATTACATAAATACGAATTATAAAATATACCTATCTTTAAACAAAGTAACATATAAATTAATTAAATTATATTAGTTCTCTAGTTACCTATTGTTTATTAATAATAATTATATTGCTTCGTAGTATTTTTTTATATTTAAAGGATATTATCACAACTGAACATCTGAGATGTAAACAGAATGCACAAGCAATAAAGAAAATCACAAGTGCTGAAATTTTACATTTTTTTCTATATAAAACCGTATTCCGTTAACGATAAGAGTTATCTTAGTGCTCTTTTATCGTAGCCTTTTATATTGTCGTAACAACGAAGATAAAGGTTCATTCGATCCTTATTCCCCTCTTGGCTTGGCAAGAGGATCCCGAGGGCTCGATAAGGTAAATCCAGGCGGCGGCGAGAACATACGCGGTGCGCGTCGAGGGCTTAACACTAGGATCAACTACGGACCACACCTGGTGTTGAAAATATAAAGTAACTAGTGCACCAAGGTGGTTAAAATTTTTTGAAAAAAAACACCACGTGATTAATAGACGGCCCCTTAGTACAGCAAAGAGCAAAGTTACCACATATGGAATATAATCTTCTAATATAAAATATTGAAATTCATTCTTAAATTATCTCCATTGGGAGAATATTTAATGTATAAAAAAATATATCTGAGGGAAAATTTACCAATTGCCTATAGTTTCAGGAAATTCGCGATGGTTAAAAGATTTGCTTGCCTTATATTAAAGTGAAATTTCTATAAAAAATAATTTAGAATTAATTCAGTGTTCCATTTTAAGTACACTAATCCATATTCTGTTAGTTTCCTCTATATTATCCTGTTTTATGTCATTCATAGTAAAATTTATATGGACTACAAGTCTTAATTAATAAAGAATTTATATATTCTTATGATAACGATATTAATATTATTTATATTATTCTCAAGGAGTCCGTGTGTTCTCATTTAAAAATCAATTATTGGTGAATTTTACTATTTCATTGTATTTTTTTAGTTTTTTTTTATGGTGGCTAGGGAATAATACTAAGCTTACTTACATACATACTTCGGGACACTGTGATTTTTTAGAGAAGAGAGAATGCCTTTGCCAGTTTGGTAACATGTGATAAGTCTTCTTATATCTATTTGTTATCAAAAAGTATTCGTCTTTCTTTCTGCATGCTTTATTAATAAAACACGAAGTGTAAAACAGTACGTGTGCCTATATGGACACAAGACCTTGTTCAATCTGTCATTATTACATAAAATTAATAACTAATTTCTAAATATAACGCCACACATTTTAAAATAAATATAATACATGAACCACGTTTTGTAAACATAAAAATGAATTCATATTGTTGTAGAAATATAGTAAGACTTAATTAAGTAGGAAAATTTTAAGTGTCCGTTCATCGGTATTTTATATAAAAACGAGTCAACTATAAAATAAATAAAAATCTTTTGGCATTTGAATTAATAAATCGTTTTTGTAAGTAATTTAATTAAAAGGAAGACTACACTTTTAGCAAAGGTATTATATCAAAAGTAAAGTATAAAGGTAGGTAATCCCATATTAATAGAAATTAATGCGAACATTTAATTATATGTTTACTATTTTTATCTGCCTTGTAGATTTCTCAACAAGTAAAATTACGGAGATGTGTAGATCTGTGTACATTCACTAAGACACAGCTCAAGTGTCTACGTGTGTACTCTGAGTGTGTAAATATTTCATATCTTGGTATTAAGAACTTCATAAATTATGTTTGTCACTTGCTTGAGTATTCAGAGTAGAATTAAACATTTACGTAATGTTTAGACACCAGAAACTAGGCACGTTTCGTGTGGAAATTTCTCAATTTAAACAGATATGTATTCTGTTGTATTTAATTGACATAATTAAAAAATATAACTGAAATTTACAAAGCTAAGGGCCGCGCAGTGTTTGCCACTTTCGGTCTCTGCAACTTTTGCAAAAAATCTCATATCAGACAAATTTCAGCATAATATGTTAAAGTATTTCATAATTTTAACATATTATGCTGAAATTCGTCGATGATAAATGGCTAGTAGTAACACATTATCAGAGTGATAAGACAGTAACATACATATGCAAATTATAACGAAGATTATAGTAGCAATAATAATATATCATCAGTAGGTAAAACAATTGCAATGTTCATTGCAATTACCTATATAAACGTAATGAAATCTTCATAGTTATCCATTACTAAAAAAAAAGTTACTATTTTCACTAGTTTTGCAAAGCATTATTGTTACCTAAAGAAACAAAAAAAATATAAATACAATTTAATGCAAACATCGACTGTTTGATATGTTTCCTAGAACAATGTCTATGTAAATATTGAATAATGCTATCATAGATAAAATTAAGATCTATCACGCTCATAAAATATATACCTCTATATAATCTCGAAATCAAAACACAAGTTAAGAGACACAAAAGACACAATACACACACCTCATTTTTTACTCGGAGGTCAAAAGTCAACAATGTTGACATGTTGTCTTACAAGGCTTCGAAGCCTTGATAAACTCTTTGGAGTGCCCTTTCCAAAATGACAGAAAATTATAACTTAAATAAATTTCCTGTTGGAGGTGTAAACATATGGAGATGGCTTTAACTAGTAAAGTAAGCAGATGAACGCTATCTATAGGCGATGCATCGTTTGATAGCAGGCGTTAACTTCCACAGCAAATATTGGACGCCCGCCGCCGATGGTATATCGTACGCGTTTGTTTGGATGTCAGTATACGTTTAGCACAATAATTTGCACTCCTTTTTTTTTCAATTCGGTTATAATAACTAATCAAAATCGATAATTTTAATTTCTTTTTATTAAAAAAAAAGCCGATGGTATGCCATACGCATTTGTTTTGATGTTAGTACATATATGTTTGAATCAACATTTTGCACTCTTATTTAGTTTCTCACTCTGACTCTCACTCTTAATATAATAATTACGTAGCCGAGTGGTTCGCACGCCGGTTTCAAGGTGTTGCCATCTCTGAGGTACCGGGTTCGATTCTCGGTTGGGTCAATGTGGAAAATTAACTTTTCTATATTATCTCGGGCCTGGGTGTTAAGTTACCTTCGTTGTCTCAGATAGTCCATAATACGGGGGCTTTAGCTACTCATCTTGGAACCAAGCAATGTATGTGATATTTATTTATTTTATTACAATAACTAATCAAAATAAATTATTTATACTATAATTTTTTTAAATAAAAATATCGAGAACATATTTAGTTCGCGTGTCTTAGATATTTTGTAACACCCTCTCTTTTTATACCTAAACAATCTGAAATAACTCATATCCTATAATACGATGACTACCGTAACCGAGTGGCTAGTACGCCGTTTTCAAGGCTTCTCAATACTAAGGTCACGAGTTCGATTCCCAATTGAGTCAATATTAAAAATTACCAAGAGCATTTTTTCCTTTTTTTTCGTTTATTTGTGGCTATGGTTATTATTTGCAATATTTACGATGTTGTCTATACTATCCGCATAATACGTATCCGCATAAGACGTGCATACTTCACTTGCGACTTTCAGTTGAATCCAAAAATTTTGCTCCAAAGCCGCTTAGTTTTTTTTAAGATAAAAAAGAGGTTTGGGTCTAGCAAACAGCGCGGGCGGGCCGAGGGCGGCGGTGTTTATATAGCGGTTATCACGTGTAAATAGATAGGTGCACCACCAGATAAACTGGAATGGAGGTGAGTTCACATCTAACATATGACGTGCTTCACGGAAATGAACTCTAACACTATAGAATGGTTTATGAAGTAACAAATGTGTACTTTAACTCCGATATCTGGAGGCAGGAATGTAATCAAGTTTTGTTTTACTAGGCTTCAATTTAACCTTTAATCTGTAGTGTTATTCTGTTATAAAAACAGCTTCGGACTCGCAGTCGAACGCAGTGTTGTCACGACATAGAGCTAAATAAACTAATGAAAATGAAATAAAAATATTTTTTACCCAGATTGGTTTTATTTAATTGAACCTGTATGACGTGACAAAACTGCGTTCGATGACTATTTTGAAACTGCTTTTAACATAATAGAATTACAGATTAAAGGTTAAATAGACCTTGCGATTTTATCCACATATATTAGTAACCGGATTATACAAATAAGTAAACGCATTGTGAACAATTTAATTACTTCTACTTTAAACAAAATGTAATATTTCACATTATTTATCAAAGATTAAACAAAAATAGAGCAAATTACATACACTAGTTAACTCAGAAGTTACTGACACTGTTCTAATAGTCGCATGTCAATGTTATTATGCCTACATCAAATTTGTAATCGAAAAAGTCGAAGTTGGTGGAGTTTTGTGCGACACTGCCAAAAATACTCCAATTTCATTATAATAATGAAATAAACTATACCTTATTTATCTAAGTATACTAATATTATAAGTTAAAGATAAAATTTGATTGTTTATTTGCATTGAATAGATTTCGAAACGATTGGATCAATATTAAAAACAGTTTCAATAAATTCTAGGTGTAAAAAATAAAAAAGTAAATAAAGGTATATCACCACCATCTGACTTCTACAATAATCTAAATACTTAATTACGTGAAAGAAATATGGATAATACACACATCTAACTACTTGAAAGTCAAATGAGACTAGAACAGCTACCTTTTTTACCTCAAA